GGGTGGTAGAGAAAAGTCAGTGAGCGGACTTGAAAGGGGGGGTAAAGGGTAGTCGAGGCCAGGATAGGCTCTGCGGAGGAAAGTCGAGGCAGGGGCCAAAGCCTGGATGTTGATGCGGGAGGGGGGTGGATGAGGATGGGGAGGGGGTGAAGGTGGACGAAGGTTGAAGCAGGAAGAAGGAGGTAATCGTGGACGTTAAAGAGGATGTCATTACTCATGCGCAGCCCTAATCTTAATAACGGTACCAAGTCACAGGTAAAAGGTTGCTCTTGGCACGTATAGTCATTTTTTCTTTTTTGACCTCCCCCTTTTTTTATTTATTTCTTTTTTCTTCTCACTCTTTGTTCCCCGCGTTCGCCATTCTTTTCGCCTTATTTCTGCCTCCCCTGCTTCCGCTTCCCGGATCTGCAAACCTGCGTGCTTCAGTCCACGACCATCCCTTTTTTGCTCTCGGCTTAGAATATCCACCCCTCTGACCGTAACACAGTGCGGTATCGACGTCGCGACGCCGCATAGCGTCACGAAACGACGGAGAAAAATCGTCGAGGAAATTTTGGCGTATCCGAAAAAAGACGATCGACGGAGAATTTTTTAAAGGCGATTAATCCCTTTTCGTTGCTAAATTTCAAATTTTTGAAATTGTCATTGGCATACTTGAAGATATTGTATACCGCGTGTGCACAGTGTTCTTGAGGTACTTTTGAATTTTATACGAATGCAAAATCGAAATATTATTTTTTTTTGAATTCCAGCATTATTTCCTTCATACGTAACTTTGCTTGGGATCATATTGTCACGTGTATATGTATATACACACGACTGCCACTGCATCGAATAAATCATTCTGCTTGAAATGCAAATTTCGAAACACGAAGAATATTAGATTTTTATATTAAAACATTTTTACGCGATGTCGATATCTATTTTAAAGCCAAACCTTCTTTTAAACTCCATTCGACAGACTGCGTGCAGTCGGGCATATTCGGTATTATTGGTTTATTCGGGCAGTATTATTTTTATGATTATTATCCTATACTTTACGGTCGCCGGAGATTAGCCTTATTGCCGACATAAAACTATGCGGCTATACGAAACGATCTCAGATTTCGTTATACGGGGAAATAGGTGAAAAATAAACGTCTTTCAAATTTACAACCACGTTCAATGAAAATATCCATTTTTCAGGTTTTTTTTTGACGCCGGCTTTTGGCTTTATCGCAAAAAAATTTTGTAACAAACAAATCATTGCCAGAAATCAAATTTGACTCGATACCGCTCATCGGTCGAAACCAGCTCGACATTTTTTTTTAAATTTTATACTACCCATACGTTCTTACGAGGAAGCGATAAAAATCGCTAACTATTTGCAAATCGCCGTTTTCATCGCGCACGACACTTGTTGCACTTTAGTGCATTTATGGCATAACCATTTTGTCGTATGTCGCACGTCACACTGTGCTCTATGGTTCGTTCAGCATAACTTAAGGAATCAGCATAGAATTTCATACTACGTTATCATCGATGTACGATAACACCGAATTTACGTAATCTCTTGATAATAATACGACTGTTCATGTAATTGGTACTATGACATATTTATCGTCCCGAATGACAAATATTTTCACACAGGGTGGGTTGTCAAATTTTCAAAATATTGGCTGACAGTTCGATAGTCATGCTGAACCAGTCTGACGTAACGCCTACGTAATCACTGTCGGTTTAAAAGACTTTTTACTACTTGCTATGTGTCGATACTAAAACCATGTATCGTTATGTGCATACTGGGTGATAAAAAAAATAACTGGATTAAATACGAAAAAAAAAAAATTTAAGCAAGGTAAATATTTTTTTATGAAATTAACGAGATT